GAGGAACCTTCCTTTAAAATGCAACACAAGAGTCGAGGTTGGAAGATGATGGAATACATGATAAATCCTCGTCTTGAAGATCCCAGCAAGGACCTGGCAAGCTCATGTAGGGTCTACCAAAGGGGTCACAAGTGGTTAAACTGTAAGACCCACATTTGTTTTAAGAATTTTTTAAAATTTCTTTTTAAAGTATTTTTTTTTTTAAGCTCTTTTTGAAATTTCTCAGAAATTGTCCGCGGTAGCACGAGCTTAAACTGCCAATCTCTTTCAAACAAAAAAATCAATTTCAAAAGATAGTTCAAAACGTCTAGCCCTATATGACGTAAAAGGTCGGGTGTAATCTTTTTCTAAAAATATGTATCCCCATTCTACATAAAATGGCCGGATGCATTCAAAAAGTCCACCATCACATGATGTTAAACTGTCAGGTTGATTACGTCCGCCATTACATGATAAACTGTCAGGTTGATTATGCTCGCCATCACATGACATTAAAGTATCGGGTTGATTACATCTGCCATCACATGACGTTAAACTGTCGGATTGATTACGTCCGCCATCACATAATGTTAAACTGCGGGTTGATTACGTCCATCGTTGCATGACATTAAACTGCTTAGAGGGCTCCATGGTAACATGAGCTAAAACTGTTAACCAAAATTTTCTTTCATAAAATATCACACCCTTTTTCAAGATTTCCCCTATGTGTTGTGTTTTCAATAACCTTAATTTCTTTCTTAAAATCGTACTCCCGAACTCATGGTCTTGTTTCAAAAATTTCTATCTACTCTTTCAAAATTTCTAAAAACTGTTTTCTAAAACGAAAGAGTTGGAGAACCCATAAATGATGTTGCCGCATTGTTGCCTTCTCTAAATCTCTTTGAAATTCATTGAACCTATTTCTTGGAAGTGAAACAGAAAAAATATGAACTTTCCCAATAAAAAGCCTTCTTAAGCCTTAGGAAACCCTAAGGGGACTAAGGAGATATAAGGTTCAAAAATTTGAATTGAAAATGAAAAGTCTAAGGTTAAGTGGCATGGCTAAAAAATCCAGTTCGGAGTCTGGACTAGCATGAGAAAAACATCTAAAGAAAAACTCAGGCCGAAAAGCCTAGGGGCAAACTTGCATTAAGTAGATGAGTAGGATGAACGCGATGTCTCGTGTTAATGTTCTAGGAAAAGGATTGGTAGACCCTCTAACCATTTGACATTAGGCGAAATGTTAATCGAGATTGCCAGCAGGTGTCTACTTTTCTCCGCCCGCTTGTTCCTTGAAGAACAAGGGGTGCCAAAGAGGCGCAACTGTAGACACCCCATTTTGAATTTGGCTAGTTTTCTCAATATTGCCTATTTTTTCTAATTTTTAAATTCCCAAAAATGCCTGATAAATCCTTAAGGACCATCCTACCCGAGTACACTATAGTCTACCTTTTATATGGTCCATAGTCCTATGGCCCATGGTCCCAACCTTCTAAACTCCTAGAAAATCTTGTACGGATCCTAAAACCTTAGGAAACCATCCTAAAATCTAGAAAATCATCCGACACATTAGAAATAGGAAAACCGACTTAGAAGCTTTTGGGATAAGTATGATCAAGAAAATTCGGAATTTGGATCCAGATCAAGAAGATCAACGAAACCTGAAAGATCAACCGACCATGTTTTAGACACCAGTTTTCATGGCGTCAAGACTATAAGTCTGAAAACGCCACTTTTTGTGGTGTCTAAACCACAGGATTCGCAAAATCTACTCTCACAGAGCTTTTATAGGTAAAAATCCTGGACACCAGTTTTCGTGTTGTCTGGCAAATTTTCCAGAAAATGCTTCATACAGTGGTGTCCAAATTTCTTGACCTGGTCAACTCAAATTTTCTGTAAAATCTAATAGGAATCATTCCCAACCAACTTTGAAACGACTATTGAAGCCTATATAAGAAGTTTATTTCAGGTCATTCAAGAGACCAACACAGAATCTTAGATCAAGCGACCTACTCTTTAGATAAAACCTAGAATTAGGAAGCTCAACCCTCAAGATACCTAAACCTTAGTTTTGTAAACCAAATTCCAAAGAATAAAGCCCTAGCCTAGATCCTCTTAACCTTAGCCTAGAGCTTTAGGCTTCAAACCTTAGATCCTAGAAGCCAAGACCGTATATCTAAGCTACAAAACCCTAGATTCAATTTTAACCTCTCTAAACCATTCATAGCCAATATTTCCAGTAGGTCTTAAAGGGGAAAACCAACCAAATTCAAAGAGAAAAAGTGAAGGCAAAGAGGCATAAATAACCCGCAGTCCTTATATGGGCGGCACCACTAACTTCGAGCTTCCTGGGTCAACCAGCCCGGGCAAGTAAACTTTCTTCTTTAATTTTTATTTAATTTGATTATTTTTGGTAGACTTAATTTTGCAGTAGATTTCCTTTATTTTGGCGAAAAATATCATGCTGGCATTGTCAACGATTTAAAGGGAAATTGGCCTTTCGACGTTAATTAGTCTTTAAAATCGTAATTTGACCGTTCCCATGGCAATTCTATCAAAAATTTACTTAATTAGTTTTATAGCTATAGATCAGGGGATCTCAGATTTGAAATTCTCTCGATTCCGCATTGTAAACAAGTATGCAACTGAGTAGCACCTAACCTAGCCTAAGTCTGGGCTGAGCGTGTTCCCTTATTCTCTTGAGAGGTGCGTCCCACCCCAATATCCTTACTGAGGGTGGCGTGCCACCTAGAGAGGAAAGAGATAGCAAGAGAGAGAGAGACTGAGAGAGAGAGAGAGAGACGGCATCTAGAGGGGAGAGAGGGGCTCAAGTGTGTTGAGAATTAGGGGGCTTCCTCCTCATATAGACCTCACCCTAGGATGTTCCAATCTGATAATCTAAAAACATTTTGGTAATCTATGAGTTGAGAGAGAAATAATTTGAACCATCCATCATTGAAATCAGCCATTATGATTTAAATAGGATTTTAAGTACCTTTATCCCCTGAATTTGGACCCATATCCGCTTCTTATCTATCTAAGACTTTTAACCAGTCAAAGTTATCTCTAGAATTATCTAGAATTCCTTTTATCTCACAAAAGGATATTTAGGAATTCAAAATAAAAAATAAAACTTGGTCAAAATAATTTAGATTCCATGAAAATCTCACAAAAGATTCTCAAAGACATCTTAGGATATTTTCAACTAACCAAAACAATGTATTTCACAATTAAAAATAACACCCACAAGGTTCCCAAATTTATGGGAAACATGAGCGTCCCAGTACGTGGGGCGTGTGGGCCATGCGAGCCCCTCATTCCACTCCACGTGAACTCCACACATTTGAGGGCTAGGCCCATGGCCACCCAGGTGGGTCACACCAGGTTTAGACATAATTTTGAAAATCTCCCCATGTCAAAATAATTTTCAATATAACCTTTTGGGGCTTTTTATTCATTTAAAACAATTTTAAAATACTGAAAATATACATAAATCATAGAAACATAAGTTTAGTTAAAAACAATATTTCTGTAATTTTTAAAAATTTTAAATACATAGAAATACCCCTAGAAGTGGATTGGTACCAAAATGTCAAAAATTAAGTGACTACTAAGGCCACCAGTGCCAAGATCCATGATTCACTATTGTCTTCTCAAACTAACCGAACAGGTCCCGTGACCCAAAGGTAGTGTACAGGGGCTCATGATTGGCCCATCAAATATAGTCAATAGACAGTGGAACTGTAGTATATGGACTATAGGTTCCCGCCACAAGAGCAAGTCAAATGCACATATCACTATAGTGCAATGGGTTTCCCTTGATGCATATGTACATGGATCACTCTATAGGTTTGCTTCCCAAAAATGCATCTATCATATGTACAATGCTGTTTGGAAGTGTTTTTTACGGATTTGGCCCTCACTCTTATAAGCTTACATCTGCACAAAAAAGACCACAAAGTTCTCCTGGCCCACAAATGTCTTTGGGCACTCTCCGAACTCAAGAAAGGATGACACTCTATAAACCCTCATCAGTAGTGCCTATGCCCAAGGGAAAGGCTTTTGGGCATTGACTTGGGCAATTGGCCGCCCAACCCTAGGTCATCAACCATCATAGACTCCCACTGAAGCGCACAATTCACTATCATTTTTTATTTTTACATGCTCTCAGAGCCCTTAAAGGCTACAAAACCCAATAGTCGTGTCCATAAGGATGAGCACGAGCACATATCACTATAGTGCAAGGGAGACACTCTCTTATATACATGTACACGACTCCCTCTTCATAGAGCTGCTTCTCAAAATGTAGTTGTCATGTGTACATGTCGTGCAGTGGTTGTTGAGCATTTAACTCTTGTCATCACATACCCATAACCACACACAAGAATCCTAGCAGCCTCCAAGATGTCATCATCTCTAAGCATCTTTCCAACCTCAACAAGGCATGCCCTACTGAAACCCTCAACTGTAGTGCCTATGCTTAGGGAGTAAGGGTTTTGGACAATGACCTTGGACCAACCTCAAAGGTCAGTTATCCAACATTCCTACTACATTGTGAACATCCACGAAAAAGTATTTTATTTTTACATACTCTCAAGTGCCTTAAAGGCACAAACCCAAACACCATTTGCCGCTTTCGTTGCTTGAATAATGACCGATGTATAGGTTGATGTATGAAATAACTTCAACAAAGCAAAGCCAAGCAGAAAAATACAAATGTCAAGCCTACAAAGTCCAACATCACTAGTGTGTCTAGTGGTCTAACAGCAAAAGGGAACAGCGTTTTCGTAATGAAAATGATACCACATTCTATCTCTCCCACTCTCTCTCTATCTCTCTTGACATATGTGTGCGTGTGTAAGGTGTCAACTTAAACTATAGAAGTTGAGGCGCACCTCAAAAATTCATCAAAAAAGGTTAAGCGAGAAGAAAATGTGGTATCAGTTTTTATGTGAACAACCATTGCAACAATATAACTATAAAAGTAAATTACAATTGCCTAAACTACTCCAAGAACTTACACGTCTCGGAAGCGAAACTCGAAACCAGTACAATAGTCCATCAATTACTTTCTCAGTGCAATTACTGCATGTAAAATGGAAAAGCATGGGTTAAAAAAGGTAGCATGATTGAGTCACTGAAAATATATTCACCAATGCAACACATTCGTATTGAAATCAACTAAATGTGCACAAAAAAGACCCAACTGAGAAAGTAATTATGAGCCAACCAGAATATGAATTAAGTAAAAGAAAATGCAGTGTTAGACTTTGTCAACATGAGACCACTAACATTCAAATTAAGAAGATGTAGGCAATTGATCTCTAGTCATTAAAAACAGAGGTAAACTATATTTTGAAAATGTGAATGCTGGAAACTTACTCAAATTCACAAGATGACAATTCTTATGGGCAACATGATTCCATTTTATCTGAGACATGGCCTAGAATGCTAATAAATGAAGGTTTCCTTCCAGTTTTCCTTTCAAAAGAGTCAGCCAATGAATCAGATTATTTGTTTTCCTTGTAAAGCATATGATGAATAAGAGTAAAGGAAAGGAAAATGGTTCTTTAATCTTGAACAATCCTGTGAATAGGGGTGGCAATGGTCCCGGACCAACCCGGGACCCGAGGGGTAGACCTGATAAGGGAAAGGGTATGGCTCCAAAAATTGGACCTGGCGGTACCCGAGGTCTTTTCTATGTTTGCTAGGTTCTTTGACATCATCCCCTCATTCCTAGTCATGAACGCGAAAGACATCCATCATCTCATCCAGTCAGTCATCAACAGCAAGGAAGAGTAATAAATTGTCTCCTAGTTTCTTTTTCACAATCATTGATCTAGCTTCTTCTCTAAGTCCTTTATTCCATCCTAAAGTCTCCCTCATCCTCTTCCTATTAGATCTCATCGTAACAACCAGACACATTGGACACGAGTGAAAGAATTCATGTGCCTCAGTGTCAAAGAAGGCTTCTATCTAACCAATGGAACTAATATGGCTGCAAAGGAGGTACTACTTGCTGCTTCTTCCCTGTAAATGAGCATTGTCTGAGAGAAAAATCTTTACCTAAACATCTTCTCAGCCCCACCAATATGTGATTCCACAAACTCCATGGCACAACTTATCATGTAGCTTCCCATTTGTCATTTGTCAATTGTCAATCACCAGTTATAATTTATAGTCACTTTTACAAAATCAATAACTTCTACTTGTATCATGCATCAACGTTTGCATTTGCATATGAATTTGGTAAAGCAAGACAGATAAATAGGTATATTCTTACTCTCTTTATGCTCATTTGAGTATAATTTTCTCAATTTTTTTAATTTTTTAAAAAGAATTGAAAACTTCATATCGGATCATGTTATCAACATGGATACCACGGACTGTGCTAAGATTCTTTGCACAGTTGATGACTCCATGTAAAAGACGGTAAGAGCAGCCCAAAACACTTCACAACTTGAACAATGTGGTTGTTGGCCTTCAGATCAAGCTATGTTCCTGTTCACTGATCTCATCCTGATCCCAAAGGTTGGCAAAATGGTCAATGATATGGTCGAAAAGATCTGTACAATGAAAACTAAAAACGATAAAAAGTTTCAACAAGTCAGTCATTTTATCATTTTACCATGACCAAGATGGATTATAAACACTTTCTTCCAAAAATAAGATGGATTATAAACATTTCATATATAATATGATCACTTCTTAAAATACATAGTTGTACTATTTCCATAATCTTTTAGATTGTTAATATCTTTTATATTAGCCTAGCCCTTTAGAGTAAAATGTTTCGTTCCTTTGGCATCTAATATATAAAGTTCTCTTGTAGGGTGGAAGACACATAATTTACTAGTAGATATATTAATATAAAGTATATTTCAAGGATGAACATGATTTAGAAGTAGATCTATCGTCTTGTGGTCTATCCCAATCTGAATCCAGATAAGTTTCATTACCATGCGGGCCCAGTGAGGAATGCAACAGCACTCTTAAAAGAGCTTGATAATTCATGAGGTAGGAGAAATTTGTGGGAACAGTAAAATCAGCAAGAAACAAGCTAAACAGAATCATAAGTTGAAGAACCCACAAGTTTCTTCTCCACACCCAAGCTAGGGTTGCAATTTTCTTTCAGTCAATTTCTAAAAATCATGTAGAATTGACCCTCTCAAGGCCCCACAAACCTTACATATTATAATTCAATGTTCAAGGACATTACATGTCCATACCATGATAAAAATGACCTTTATATCCCAACTTGAGCTTAATTTTTTAATGACAAATTTACCCCTGTGAATAGTACCCATGAATAGTACTCATGAATAGTATTTGTGAATAGGTCCCATGAAATAAATAAAAAAATATAAACACCTTAGAATCCCTAAAAAACTAAAAACCCTAGAATAAGCCCTAAAAGCAAATTATAATATATATCCTTTAAAGTTGAATAAAAATAAAGAATAAAAACAACTTTTCTCTCCATCATTCTCCCCTGGTTGGAAAAAACGCATTCTCGAGTTTTGAAGTGTGCTAAGAAGAAATTGGCATTAATCAGGCAACATTCTTCAACTTGAATATTGCAAACATGATCCTGGCACTTATGGGTTACTGCACTAATTAAAACACGATGATTATGCATCGGAACTAAGAAACCCTCGAAGAAAGGGTCACTAAATGTTAGTATCAAAAAAAAAAAAGGGTCACTATATATCAATAGAATACTTTTAATTAAAAAACTTGTTGAATTTGCATCACTTCAGCTATGTAACACTACTGAACTTGCTCACACTCAGCGCTAGAACATACCACGAGTGCATCTCTGAGATCAACGACTTCACCCTCTTCCAAAATATCTTCACCATTATCGTGATCCTTATTATAAATCAGATCTCCTAAAAAAGATCTTGTTGTTCATCTGAGTATATATCAAAGATTGGTGGTGAATCCCAATCTACAACTTGCTGATTTTCTATGCAATCTGTGTCAAACTAAAAAACCTCATCCTTCAAATCGAAAACCCTAGAGTGATGTACCCCACGTCTAGGTCTCTGGTCGCTATCCTCATCACCCGACTTCACACGCAGAGCGCAAAAGTGAAAAAGGCTTGTACTCGAGATCCTTTTGGGCTAAAAGATCACCGTCTTGCCCATTATTAAGGCCCATGAACAGCTACACCAGCTGTTGCACTTGCCTTTCAAGTTCCTCTATGATATCTATAGGATCTCGGAGTAGATCTATAAAAATCCCTCTAATATGGCCCCTTCTCGTTGCCATAGGTTTGTCGAAATCACAAACCCTAAGCAAATAATTAACAAAAATTGCTGAAATCAGCAAGATCTAGGTTATTTTGACAAAACTTTGGTCAAAATCAGCAAACCCTAGACCCCAGTATAACTTCCCCTTTTTTGTTGTTAACCTATGGCACCCAAAAAGTGTGGTGTAACAGTACTTCCGTACTTGCTATAGTAACTTTCGTGCACATTGCAGGCTCTAATAAACAGTAAAATCAGCAAGAAACAAAGCTCAACACAAGGATAAGTTGAATAAACCACAAGTTTCTTCTCTACTACCAAGCTAGGGTTGCAAAAGCCTAAGCTTTTCTCTTTCAATTTCTAAAAATCATGTGGAATTGACCCTCTCAAAGGCCCCACACACCATATATATTATAATTCAATATTCAAAATGTCTTTACAATGATGAAAATGACCTTTATATCCTAACTTAAGCTTAAATTTCACATGACAAATTTACCCCTGTGAATAGCACCCTTGAATAGTCCTCATAAATAGTACTTGTCAATAGTTCCTATGAAATAAACAAAAAAAATATAAAAACCCTAGAAATTCTTAATAAACTAAAAACCCTAGAAATAAGTTTCTAATAGCAAACTATACTATACATCCTTTAAAGTTGAATAAAACTAAAGAATTAGAATAATATTTCCCTCCATCAATTCAGGATTGGAATACTCAGACATCTAGTCATGTCACATAGTTTTGGTAGGAGAGACTGAAATATCTTAATTATCATCAGCTCCAAATTCTCTTATTCTGCTGAGACAATCTTCTCATGTTTCCATTTCACTTGTTTGCTCAAGTTGTTAACTCCTCTTTGTTAACTCCTCTTTAGTTGCTCCTCAGTTGCTTAATTTAGAAACCTCTAGTATCTAATACCCGTGGGGAACGCGCAGCGCAAACAAACGTGAGCTACTATACCGAATCCCCTGCTGTCCATCGGGGGCCGAGTGGTAAGGCCATGATCTGCTGGCGATCCCTAGTTTGGATTTGCCCAAGATCTTTGGAATTCATTTGTTTCTCTTAGGGGTGGCTTGCTTTGGGTTTGGCGCATTTCATGTCACAGGGCTTAAGTTTTAACTCTTCTTTAGTTGCTCCTCAGTTGCTTAATTTAGAAACCTCTACTACCTAATACCTGTACGGAAATTTTCAGTATGAGTATTGGAGATGTTGGTTGTTAGATCAAATCGAGGCCTGTGAGAAGAATCACGCATGGGATATGCACACTGATTGATAAGGCAGCCATTAGATGTGAATATATGAATACAAGGTGAAAGATTTGTCTAAAAGATCCAATAGTGGGTAAAAACATTGCAAGGCACCAATTATTACCAAAATTCTATGCAAGAGTACAGCATTGTCCAGTGGAAAACATTTTCTATAGCTGCCACCTCACCCTAATGCATCTTCTACACTGTTGACCCATGGCACTTACACTTCAAATAATCGTTGAGATAGTGTTTCTTAACTACCTGCATGGTTTTGATCCAGTCAGTAGATCGAGAAAAGCTACACCTGCTCTAAAAAAGGTATCTTGTGTTTAGATTGAAGTACTCCAACTGAACGCTATCCCACAGGAGGGTCTAGAAATGCACTGCTGTCCTTCCTTGATTTGTTAAAAAAAGTAATGGAAAAAAATTGCTTTACTTTAAGGTTAACATGCACAAAAAAAATAAAAAATGTTTTTACTTCTTGCTGATGTTAATGCCATTGTAATAAGTCACAGTGATGCATCCACGACATTGTCTCTGACGTAGATTGTTCATCAGTTTTAGATGAAATATACAGGACCTTTGGCTTGTCTTGTTGGTCATCTACAGGAGTAGTGGCTACCAGAAATAAATCTGTAGTTTCTCAATGCACAAAATTGATGTACTGATTAGAAATCAGTTGGCTACACTCTTAGGCCCGATGTTAAACTCTCATAACAAGACAGAAACCAGCTACCTGATGACCCCTTATGAGCATTGCGTATGTTAGCAATCATACCACCAATTTCTTTTGCAATTTAGCTTATTATTTTGTTCAATCATATTTCAAGAACCTCTCTTCTCAAAGTCGTTCAACAGGAATATATTTCTACACTCCTTCTGCAGGACCACATTTGTATCTTCAAGAGAGGCTTTTGTAGATTCAGCAAGGATGCTATAACACCTAGATATCTACAACTGATTTTCCTATAATTTTGGGAGATTCGCGTTGCATGGTGTAATGAGAAATAAGACATGGTATCCAATCAAGTGAATGGGCAGAGCAAAGGGCGATGTCTCAGTACCTAATGAGTGTATATGGCTTCAGATGTTTCTGTCTGATCTTGGTGTCTCATTGCTCCCCCCAAGCCACTAAATGAAGGTAGTACCAGTCAAGGGACATCAGTTATCATCTTGTCTTTAATGAGGTTGATTGCCATTCTATTGGAAACAGGATGCAAAAGGAGTCATTTCAATCAATATCCTTCATGGAATTGTAGACAAGGTATAATCCAAATTATTTCCTAAAATAAGTACTACATTTATCTCCAGCAGTATTTTAAAATGCGGGATGCGGCCTAATGCATTGGGTGGGCTGATGCGGCAATGTGGCTCAATGCGGTCCAGATTCATAGGATTATGGGTGTTGCTCTAAATCTCAAAACTGGATGTTGCTTCTAATCTTAAGATTGCAAGTCTGGAGATCCCAATAATTGCTATCTTAGGGATCTATAGGTGTTGCTCTAAATCTCAAAACTGCTCATGAAAAAATTCATAAGATTTTTCAATGATAATCAAAGGCAACTTCAAGCTTCTCCAGGTTAAGCAATAACCTCAGAGCTGGTCATGCCCAATGAACCAACCAAGAAGACAATAGGGAAAATTGGAATCCATATATTACAATGTGCAACTTTAACATGTGAGAAATTTTAAGTTTGGAATATAAGACCATGAAAGCGTGGAATTTTTACCAAGTCAGATCATATCACCTAAAAACAAGCACCAAGAAACCTAGATAATAAGTCGAACAGAAAATTTTATAACCTCCAATTTTTTAACTGGTAGAACTTTTTGCAGATAATATAGTAGGAAAATATAACAGTAGAGCTTACTTGCAGAGGTGAGTTTGTGAAGTTAGCATATCCACATGGTTCACTGCTATTATTGCCCGATCTACAAAGGAAAATTCAATGAGAAATCAGTTCGTGTTTCAATAAAAAACCATGCACAGTATGGCCATCATATATAGGGATTCTAAGAGAAAAACATCTTCTACAACGAAACATTTGCAATATGCATGATACACTGAAAAGGGGCAATAAATGATGCGAGTTTATAATAATAGAAATATTAAAGCAAAGAAGAAGAGAAGTTCCCTAAGACATGTCAAATCACTTTTTTTCATTGGCATTGAGCAAAAAAAGTAACAAGCATGATTCAAATAAAAGCATGAAGCATCACATAAATTCAATAAAGTGCACTTTTTTGAAGGATCATTTAGATCTTCCACAAGAAAAAAAAACCAATCCAAGGAATGACGAGAAAGTTCTCAAGATATAAAACACGGTTGAGCAGTATTGCAGCTATTGCTAAAGCTAAGAGGCCATAAGGAGATCAGTAACATTGAATCAGCACAAAAATGGAAAAGATATCTCGAATGGTACTCTAATTTCTGTGGTCTACCATGAAGGCCATATCAACTGCTTGCAATTGAAGAAACAGCTCCAAATGTAGAAAAAAGCTGTTTTCGCTGCTATTGCAAGGTTCATGTAGGAAAACCCAAGCAAGAGAAAATTCCACTGAGCCCCAATCTTTCATAAACATGATTTTCCAAAAATCTTCTAAATATTGGGTGTTGAGCCATTAGAGGCCTTAGCTCCAGGTTTTCCCCCATGTGGTGTAGTCATGAGATATTGCACATCCCAGTGTTGAACGAGAGTGCAAATTGATAAAAAAATGGGCTCTATGTGGTTTCGAGCAGTCTGATGGTATACTCATTCTTTTATGATTGCTCTCAGGATGAGTATGATGTTGGACTCCAAGGATGAAAGAGGTGGTGTGTGTGAAATCCATGGATGAAATTATAGTTTCAAAAAGCCATCCACCAAGCACTCAGGCGGGCTAGGTAGACCTGGGTGCATCATCCAGGTCCTGGCAGACCAATTAGGCGGGCTATCCCTGGACGGGCGCCTAGGGACTGCACCAGCCTAATTGCAAAAATACCCATTGGGTGTGGCAATTTTGGTTTTTTTACTATTATTGTTATAAAAAATGCATGAATATGCATTTTTAATTCATGCAATCTTTATACAAAACCTGGACCTAAAACAGCAACCTGGACACCCCATGCCCCCTTCTGTGTTGGATATGAAGATTATCCAAAATCACCCACATAAGGAAATCCCATATTATGTGGGATTGGGATTTGATATTGATAAGTTTCTTAAAGGAAACAGAAATCCAAAAGATTAGGACTCTAGGATATATCTCTTGATTCTTGAGATATATGTAACATTTATAGGAAGTTTCCTATTTGATGTTGATTCCTAATCTTATATATATGAGATGAAAGTGCAAAGAATTCGTGTGCCCCATTTGGGTCACCATATTTGACAGGTGGCTTCCTCTAAAGAGAGAGGCATGACCTCCTCAGCATCAGTACGGCCTCCCTTAGAGAGAAGACAGTTTCATATGAAGAGAAAAATCACAGATGTGCCTCCTGTAGATTGAGAAGCTGGTTTCTTGTAGAGAAGCAATTCCCATGAACATTTTGGGTGGTTTCCCCTTTTAGTGAGAGAAAGTCTCGGTTGCTCTTAAGGTTCTCCTCCTGGACAGTGGTTTAGCTGTGGAATGGAGATGGTCTCTTCCTGGATAGTGGTTTAACTGTGGAATAGAGATGAGAGTTCAATGATGGTGTAGATCGGGAGACTTGGTCTAAAAACGTTTATTCGACTGGGTTTTGTCAATGGTTATAGAGGTAACTCTATATCCCAAAGTCTATAATGTAATTTTCATTGGTATAGTGAATTTCAGTTTGCGATGCCCGTGGATGTAGCCCTTTTGAGGTGAACCACGTAAATTTCTGTGTTCTTGTGGTGTGTGTTTCATGCTTTATTTCTCGTATTATGCTCTCTCCTATTTTGTTTCTAGCCGAATCAGTACACGATCTTGGTGGAATCCAACTTTGGGATTCATGTTTCCGCATCTAAGAGGGTTCTTAAATCCTAATGTTTTGAACCTAGGCCGTGCAGATCCCTTGGTGCACGCTTAGGGGCCACCTGACATTTTCTACAACATTGGATGAAATAGGACATTAGAGTAGGTATGAGTACACACTCCTAGGATGAAAGTGGCTAACAGAGCAGGTCTCTACTTGAATGAAAAAGGAAAGTAGAGCTAGTTGGAATGAGACTCTATATCCGACATGGTGCGATTCATAACCCACACTTTGGCGTGCAACTAGGCCTTGGCCAGATCGACTAGACCACCACCTTAGATTATACATGCTTAGTCCTTATCATAATTGTTAAAAGCATCCAAGACTCAAAAACGTTTTAGGAATCAAACGTGCAGAATAGTAACAACTAGAAGATTCATTTGGTCAGAAGAGTTGTTCACACAATGCATATCGCAAAAATCAAAATTCCTACCTTTTGGGAATCGAGCTTCAACCCAATTGGGATCAAGATTCCTACCTCTTTGGAATCATGTACCCAACCACTTGGAACGTCATAAATCATCAAGAAACTAGTTTCATAGGGTAAATGGTTTGAGGTTATGAAGTATCCTTAACCAAGGATTCCTTAGTAATGGAATTGATGCATTGAGTATGCTTAGCCAAGGTTCCCCTAGTATTGGGATTGAGCTCCTCAACAGCCCTAGCGACCCACTAATATTGAAATTGACATATTCAATGTCCTTAATCACGGTTCCCCACAGGTATTTGAATCAAGGTCGAGTGCCCCTTTGAGGTTTACTGAGGTTCCAGATTGAATAAAGAAAGTAAAAATTACATATTTTTTAGAATGATGTTATGTAGAGTTTGTATACCCCCTTAGAGTTCTGAGTCACCAATCATATATTAATTAATAATAGAACTTAAATAACACAATGTCTCACTACATCACTAGGAATTCATGTTTTTGTTTACAAAACATACAAATAATAACTTTTATATACTTGAAAATGACATTTTGCTTTTGAGGCCCTATGTTCGAATTCACAGGAATGGAATTGAACCCAATTATTTTCACAAGGAGCCAACATGTTCTAGCACTAGTAGAAAAGCAAGTTATGCAAAAAACCATAAATTTATTTTACAATGTATTACTTAGTTGACGTAATATGTACTTCGACCCCATGTTGATCGAATCATTGTTCATTGTACCTATGAACCGCGATGTTGTTAAATCTGGATTCCAAATAACTCAGATCGATATTCCTAAAAATTGGAAGTGAGATTCCTGGTTGATCGATTCACAATTTTGTGAACCTATGAACCACGGTATTTGATGTAGTGGGATATGGTTTCAAAAAAACGCGATCGAGATTCTATAAAGATGGAAGTGAGATTTCAAACTTTCAAGAATCAGCTCCTTTGAAGATTCATTGATCGAAGTACCGAATCAACATTCCAAAGTGGAATTGCCACCTATGGTAGAAGAATTTTTTTTGAGAACTGTTAACATTGTATTACTAAGAAAGTAAATGTTTACAAGTGGAGTGGAACTGAAAGCACCCTCGCAGGTGTCAATCAGTAAAAAAAATATATTAGTCATCCATGGTAAGATAGGCTTATAAGAACGCCCACTTTACAAGATATACAGTCAGATATACAAAATAACGAACGGAGCTGTCACATGCTCGTAAGAAGTGGGCTAACTAGTATGGCTGAGGTCCTGAACAAAGAAGGAGTTGGACCTAGCCTAGTTGTCAAAATCGATGCTAGCTCCCTCCTTTGCCAGAAGATCTGCGAGAGCATTGGACGTTCGCCAAGTATGCCTCCATGAGACGCTCGTACCCCTGTAGATATGGGTAATCTCATCAAAAATAGGTAATAGTTGCTAAGGTGGAGCGGACAAGCCTCTTGCCCAAGATATGGTGTTCAGGGAGTCTCCTTCCACAGTCAGAGTCTAAAACAAGCATGGCGTCAGTGGTACGTAAATTTCAAGAGACCCTTGCTCTTGCAAGGTTCTCTACAAATGAGGACTACTGTATATATCAAAAGGTCAGTGGGAGTGATGTGGTTTTTAGTTCGTTATATGTGGATGATAAGCTAATTGTTAGTAGCTCAATTGCCCTAATAGTAGAGAAGAAAAATTTTCTTGCACAACACTTCGATATGAAGGATCTTGGAGAAGCTTCATATGCGTTGGGCATCAAGATAATAAGAAACATAATAGAGGAAACTATCAAACTTTCAGGCAACCTACTACAAGAGGATACTGGAAAAGTTTGATATGATTGAATGTAAGCCTATGTCAACCCCAATTGACAAAAAGACGAAGCTCAGTAATAAAATGTATCCTACCGAAGATATTGATAAAAGGGCCATAGAGAGAGTGCATTATAGGAGCGCAGTTGCAGGAGGGATTGAGAAATCGCAAGCCCAGAAGTAGGGCCATTGATTCTGCATGTTGGGAATCCGAGGTCCCGAGGAACGCGGAGAAAGTGAAGAGGACATTTCGCTGGCAATCTCTGAAGACCCCCCCTGCTCCTGAAGGGTCGGGATTGCCTAGAGAGCAGCCATCAAAGTTGAGCTTGATGTTGCCCTCTGGTGGTGGTTGCCAATTACAACCTCATAAGGGTTTTGAGGGTCTGTGACAGAGCACGTTTTCCCATTGAGAAAGAAGAGCATTTTTAGAAATACCCGAGAAATTCTTGTGATTTGCCGCCCAGAAAGTGGTCAGCGAGATAACCTTGTGAAAGAAAGCAAGTGGTTGAAGCTGAACCCCATTGAAAATTCTGTTATTCCTTTCTAGCCAAAGAGTCCAAAAGGTGGCAGCCAATGTTGCCTTCCATAAGGATTTTCCCGCCAAAGGCCACTGTGCATCGAAGTTGAAAGAGATCAAAGCCTTAACTGTGGGTGGAGTAACCCATTGGAAACCGAAAAGTAGGAGCACTTGGGACCAGAGTTTAAGGGAGAAACTACAGTGAATGAATAGGTGGGGGTT